CCAGTCAACCTGCCAGGAAGCCAAACTGATGGTCCACTATATATTAGGCACTGTGCTAGCACTAACAGTACACAACATTGTAAAGCAAGTTCTTGTTTGTAAGACCTGAGGAAACATAAAGGTTTGAAAACTATCCAAGAATTTCAAGCATAATTTGTGGGGTCTCTGGAGAAAGCAGATCAAAATGAACCTAGTTACATAATGGACCTTAACTCCTTCTACTATTCTTCATTGTGCTCCTTCGCCCACATAATGACTTCCATCAGGAAATGTTGAGGAGGTGTACATGGAAAAGGAGACATGACATTACTCTTCCCTCTAAACACAAAATTTCCCAAAAGCTTTCCTGGAACTGTCGACTGTGTGTGCATTGAAATGGTTCTCTCTCTCTACCTCTTTCTCTCTCTTAAAAAAAAAAAAAAAAGACTATGATCACCTAGGAGAACTCTCAGTTATATCTGCTCATTCCAGATACATTTTGCATTTTTCCTGGCCTCATCTTATGTGAATTTCCAAATAACATTACTTTATTTCAGGTTCATAAAGGCCTGGATTTCACTAAGAATGAGAATGTTGAAGTCATCAAAAATGAAGTCATCAAAAATGATTAAATATAGTAGCATTAAAAAGATTTCTTTTTCTGTCAGTAGCACTTCATAGCAGTTATTCCGTATTACTGGGGTCAAGGGATTCTAACTGGAGGCAGCATAGAATATACCTAAAAAACCCTGGCTCTGAAGTCTGGCTGCCTAGCTTCAATTCTGGTCATTCTACTGCCATTTGTGTAATGTCAGGGACAAGTCAGTTAATTTCTGTTTACTTCAGTTTCTCCACCAGTAAAAAGGGGAATAATAATACTAAGGTGGTTTTAAGAAATAAATTTCATAGTTCATAAAATGCCTTTGTGCAGCCAGACTGAAATGCTAGCCATTATTATTTTCATCTTGGAGAAAAACACTAGCAGAGTGAATGATTTGGAACTTGGTCTCTTATATTTGGGTATGCTGCAAATTGCCATGAATAAATTTTATTAATCCCATCCCACCAATACAATGACTCAAGTGCGACCAAGTGACTAATTTGAGCATCTCTATTAAATTAAGATGGAATTACAACCCAACAAACCATCTCTTAAGCTTTCTTACTTGGGCTTCTCCCAAAGGGATGCTCATTACAAACCTTGGCACTTATAACAATGGCACATCCATGGACTCCAACTGAGTTCAAAGGGCTTCACCCAGCTTAATGTTCACAGGATCACTACTCAATATTTACCAAGCACCTATGGGATGTGGGGACTATTGCCTGGCACTAAAGTGTTTTCTCAACTTTGTGGATAGAAAAACAAAATCAAAGACGATAAGAGCTTCACTGTTACCTCCAAAACCACAAGAGGGGTCAATATTACAAAGAAATATTGATTCTTCCTACCACACTCCTAGCCTAGGGCTCTGGGCCTTAGACTACACACTATCCCATTGCACTTGTATTTAGTAAAGTCTTTAAGACCCTTAACTATTTATTACATCTGTTTTTCTTTATCTCTTAATGGTTACGTAGCAGATTCATATAGTTCTTAGAATCACAGTAAACATAAACTTTATTGCAAAGCAGGGCCAGGATTTGTTCATAAGAGAACACGATGATACATTCCACTTATTTACTGAAGATACAAGTTGGAGCACAAGATATAAAAATAGCACATACCTTTCATAAGAGTTACATTTTTAATTAAAATAAATAGTGACCATATTTTGAATTCTTAGGAGTAAGGGATAATCCCTAATAATACCACCAACACAAAAATAAAACATTTTAATTAATCTGTCTTCTAATTGTAGTGTTAAGAGGTTTCAAAGAAAAAATTCTTTATAAACCTATTGCATTCTTTAGTAGAGTAGGATATATGTCATGAACTTCTATAATGATGAAAAGTCATCTTTTCTCTATCTCATCTCCCTGAAAAGAGTAGTATCCCATAAATATAAAATAGACAAATCAAGTCTAACAGAAATGATTGAAAGTTCATAGGATGTTTAAATTTTCCTAATCTCTTAAGGGTAAACTCTTGGGGAATCCCTTTTTGCTAACCACTTTCAACAAACATATCAAAATAATCCACCATACTGCCTACAATTTTAAAAGCTACAAACCTATCCCTATCCATTGTGGATGTTTACTTTTATAATTCAATTTCCCAGAATAAGGGCATGGATGCTTCTACTGTGGAAATAGTTAGGGGGTTGCAAGTCAGATGTTCCAGTTTGATAATCATTCCACCAATCCATGCTCTATTAAACTAGATCCAACAAGGAATCCTCAGCCCATGAAATCTGTAGAGGTGGACATATGTCATCTATGAGACATTCTTCAAGGATATAGCTTCCTATAAGGATGTTCATCAATATCTAAAAAATATTATTGATTTATTTTTCTAAACCCTCAGCAGTAGGATTCAAGAAATAGCTAGTCTTCTGATCAACTTCTAGCTAAACAGGCAGACAGAAAGACCCAGGTTCAAGTTTCGATTCAGCTACTAGCTAAGGGAAGTAGGCACTTTTCTTAACCCTTCTAGGCCTTAGTTTCATTCTTTGTGAAATGAGAAAATATATTATGACATCTAAGTTCCTTTCCAAATGCATGATTTTATATATCTTACTTTGTGATAGTGACATTGGTAAGCACTGTGAAGTTCAAAAGCACTTTCACACCATCGCACTTGATCCTCAAACCGATTTTCAGAGGTGGGTGGGGGGTTATCCTACTTATTTTTTTCCTAGCAAGTGTGCTGCCTTGTTATCCAGCAGGATGCACTAGAGACAGTAAGATCTAAAGCACCTCCCAGAAAGATTTCATTTTCAGGAGTCAGAACAAATGCTCTATTAAAAATATTTCCTCCTACTCGGTGGTTCCTCATCATGAATCTTTCAAAGTCTTACTTAAAAGAAAAATATTTAAAGAGAAAGAAAAAATATCATCTATGTGCCTCTGCTGAAGCAGTCCCTAATGGAGGGAGATCATGTTGATTTTAGGTTGAAAATAAAGTTTAATTGCCACTTGATAAATATCTTTTGCATGAAGATGAGTTTCCTTGAGCTACTGAAAAATTTAAGACCATACTCCGACTTAGGTAAAATTGGGTTTTTATTTTTAGAGCTTATCTTTGTAAAATATAAGTTGGAAATTAACAGGTAAAATAGTTTGCAAAGAGGGAGGAAAAGAGGCCCTCATTACTAAAAAGAAATATTCTGAACCCAGACTGGACTTTTGATGATGTTTTGTCAGCTCCCTTACTTCAGGAAAACATAAAAAGAATTCCTTAGAAATATGTCTAATACTTTACAGTTAATGAAACACAACAAAAGATGTGATATTATTTCATCTTTGTAACAGCCCTACAAGGTAGGTAAGGTTGTCCCACCCAAACACCCAGTTATTCTTCATCACAGAGGTCAAGGAATTTCCTAAATAATTGTAATGTGCAGTTTTATCTAAAAGACTCATTTTTTCACATTGTATCTAACCTCTTTCTGACCTTTTCCCTCAGCAAAACCATTACGAAAGGCAAGAAACAGCAACATTACACTACTGTGTTTGCTCCCTTGCCTTCTCTCTCCCTGCCCATTACCCACCCCATCTGGTAGTGCAAAGAAGCAGGAAAACAGCCAAAGGATGGGGGAATAGAAAGGAAGGAGAAACAAGATGCCTAAATAATCTAATCAGGTGATTGCCAGTTGGCTGTACAATGTCATAAATAATTAAGTCCATATTTGAAAGAGCATACTATAAAAACTTGATTCTACAGCATTTTATCAGTCTGACCTGTCATTCATAACAACAGTGTGTATAACCCATAATCAATCTGAAACAATGCGAAGTGCAAGAAAGCATGCTTTTTTTGTCATGATGTAGATGTGTATTCTGTTCTTTTTCTTTATATTTAATAATTCACACATAAGGAAAAATTCTCAAGCAGAATAGTTAAGTAATCACAATAGCTTTCTCCCTGCCTCAGCAAAAAAAGTGGAGTTTGATACCTTTCTAGCATCAGGATGTTCTGTATGTAACATCGGGAATTCTAATCTTTGGGGATATGTACCTTTTCACTATGCAGGGTCCCAGAGCCTCTCACAGTACTGTCATTTCCTTTAAAGTTCTTCTTTTCCTATTTGGAATACTGTCTTCAAATATGTTTGGAAGTTGAACTAATTTTAACTTTCCCTTCAAAGAAGAGGAATACTACATGGTTTCCATCAGTTGATTAATTCTTCTATCTTTGCAAAAGCATGAGCTATTGAATATATATCTAATAAGTAATTTCCATATTGCAGCTTGACTCTAGCAATTCTGTAATGGGTATAATTCTGAATAGAAATGAAACAATCTCTAAGCATGATAGTGAAACAATTACAAAAAGAGAAAGTATTCTAGAGCCAACTGTCATTAAACATACAAAAAAACCTCTCAACTCATTAACATCTTTCAAATTTACAGCTGGAGCTCTCAAAATCAAATTAACCTTTTCTACCTCAAAATCATTTAAAGGCCTTAAACATGAATGCCCCAAGTTATGTGACACCAGACATGACCTTTAGCTCTAATTTGATGTTGCTTCCTCTATCAATAAAGAAACCAAGACAGCATTCCTGTTTTTCACATCAACTTCTTGGCAGCAAGCTTAAAGAATTTTTAAAAACCCTCTCATTCACTTCTCTATCCACAGATTTCTCTACCCATAAAATTTATATATGAGGTCTCTGATAGCCACTGAAGAAGTGGTCTTCAGATAAACTCATAGACATTTTAAAATAAACAGATCAATCAGAAATTTATAACTATAGTGGCCTTTCACTTAAATAGAAAGCCAAATATGAAGGGGCAAGAGACTTTCACTACTTTTCAACTTTAAACTTTCTAATGGTTACTAGACCACTTTTTATTTCAATGGAGGTATATAGTTGTAGAGCTATGATTATTTAAAATAAAATCCAAGCATAATCATAGGAATTTTATGCATGTTTTACCTTTAAGCAAGATCATAAGACCATAAAGTAGAAGGGGGAAAAAATATCCTGGCCTGGTGTTACTTAATCCTTAAAAAATAATAAAAATAAAAGTAAATATATTTATATATAAACATTATATATATACATATATAATATACACACACACAACGTTTCCACATCTCAGGCACATAGTTCATAAAAAACTATCATAAAAAAAATATCAATCTGTTAAATTAAGTATCTTGCAAATGGATTGTACTGTAAGTTTAAAATTACTTGCATTAGAATCTCAAACACCACCCTGTGAGAAGGCATTTTCTGAGGCATAATCATGTTCTAAAACTGCCACATTAATTCAAGGCTGCCACAGTACAGTGAGTAAGCCAAAATATGGAACTTACCTTATTATAAATAAGTGGCAAATTGCAGGCACTTTTCAGCTTGCAGCTATCTAGCATAGTTGATTAGAAAGAAAGAAAACATCTCTCAGTCCAGTGAGAGAGCTGCATATTCAGGCTTTCCTGAGCGAATCCCAGGAGGGAGGCTGTCCACCTCCAGGACAGTAACAGCTTCCTCGCAGAGAGCACTTGCTGCTCGGAGCTGCAGCGACTTAGAATGAAAGTAAGAGGAACCCGTGATGTTTAAATACCGTTGCTTCACGTTCACAGGATATGACTCAACCCCCTCTCAGACCAGTAGGGGTAGAGTTTTCCTTCACAAAACTGTTAGATTACATAACAAACGTCACATCGTGGGGTCCTAAAATGTTTACAAACTAACACTTAAAATGTTCACCTGTTAAACATCGATTTTTAAATAATTAATCTCTCCCCTGCGGCACAAGCCCCAAACAGAAATGAGAACAATAACATGGCACAAAGAAAAATTATTCTGCTTCCTTTCTGCAGTGAATTAATTTAATGTTATTAAGTGTGTGACCTTAGCAACATCTCCCTGAAAGAAATATTTTTTTAAAAAAGGCACCTTAAAGTCACTAGAATTCCCATCACTACAAAAACTATGTATAGGCTAAAACTCAAATGTGCAAGAAGGAGCAATTCTGTACCACACAACAGCATCGCCTTCACCAAGTAGGGAACTGAGAGAGGTCTTTGTGGTTTGCTGTTGCTGATTCCCACAGCAATCTTGTCCCACGCTGTCATTACCTCGTGAAGCTTGCTCTGCCTACCTCTCCAACTCCAAGCTCTCCTTCATCTGTTTCGTGAACATTCCTGAAGAAACATGACTAATGCAACAACTCCTCTAGTAAATGTAGCAATTTTCTGTGCTTCCTCTCACCTTTTAAATCTGAGCCATATTAAGCTTCATCACACATTGAATCATTATATTTGCACACCTCAGTCAATAAATAGGATAGTCTTACACCCTTGGGAAAAAATCTACCACATAAATTCAATCGCCAACATCATCATCAAGGACCAAAAGGTAAAAAAACACATGTCAATAATAGCAAACAGACTGAAACTATCTAGACCAGGGCTGTTCAATATAAGGTGAACTACATATGTAATTTTAAATAATTTTAGAGGTCACATTTAAAAAGTAAACAGAAACGTAGAATTAATTTTAATGTTTACCTCAATATATCTAAAATATTAAAACATTTCAACATGTACTCAATACAAAAATTAAATATTTTACAGTTTTGTACTAGCCTTAGAGACCTGCTGTGTATTTTACATTTACAGTACATTTTAATTGGAATTACCTACATTCAGCTGCTCAATAGCCATACATGGCTAGTGACTACCATCTTAGACGGCATAAGTCTAGAGCTTGAGGTTCCTTCTTACTCCTCAGGTTGCAGTTTAGATAGTCTTCTCTCTTCAGAGAGGTCTTCCCTTCCCACCTTACCTGGACTGACCGTGCCCAATTGCTTTCTATCTCATGAGCCTCTTTATTTCCATCATAGTGCATCACAGCCTGGAATTTTCCCCTTATTCATTTGTTTATTTATAATATGTGGCCTCTAACAACAATGTAAGAAACCTGAGGGCAGAGATCTTGGTACAGTCAATATTTTATCCCCAGCCTCTGGCATGGTGACCAGTACATAACAGAATTTAATAAGCATGGTTTGATAAATGAATAAATAAAATATAGAATTTGTGCTATAGTTTGCCAAATGATCTATCATATAATTGAATTTTTAGAAAATATATTGGATAACACTTTTCTGCACTGAAAAATTATTTCTTATNTGATCTATCATATAATTGAATTTTTAGAAAATATATTGGATAACACTTTTTTCTGCACTGAAAAATTATTTCTTACNGCACTGAAAAATTATTTCTTATTTTATAATGTTAATGATCTTCCATCTATAACATGCTTTATTTTCATACACAACAGTATATATAAACATACTTGTTCCATTACTCTAGCAAAGATTTGCAAAGATACTTATAAGAATACTTTGGTCCTTATGACATAAATCTGGATACCATAGGATGTCTATCCCTACTCACAAAAACATAAAATATTACCTATAAGACATTTGTAAGGGACATTGATATATTTGCCTGACCAGTATATGTGTCTCCTCCTTCTGTTATCATCATCTTCATTTTTATCTGGCAAATCACCCACTCTTTCCTCCTCAATCCACATGTTTGGGGCCATGCTGAGCTGGCCCCAGAAGTGGGCATGTGACCCTTGCCTGGTCAATCAATGTATACTATTTACAGAGCTACAGAAATGGGGTCAAGAATGGGCATGTGACCCAAGCTAATTCAGTGAGAGCCAACCCTTCCACTTTTGAGGATATCAGGAAAGAGGTTGTTAAGTTTGTAGAATGTAATCCTGGAACTGCTGGTTAACATATTTGCTACCACATGAAGTGAGGCCGTTGGAAAATGAGGCCAAAACAGAGAAAAATAAAGTAAAAAATGTGAGAGACAGATTCCAAACAACACAACTGTAGCTCTTAGATCTGGCTATGGATTAAGTCACGTCTGCCTTCTGCTGTAATGATGAATGTACTAAAATGTCACTGCAGAATTTTATGTAATAGTGAAAAACTGAAAACTTTGCAATAGGCCATGAACAGTGGACAAGTTAAATAAAAAATGGGTTGACCATACTATGGAATATTATGTAGGCTTTAAAAAGAACCAGAGTATCTAGATGCGCTGACATGCAAAGCTCCCTTAAAAAAAAACCCCAAAAAAACACTTTACCCATTAAAAGGAAAATAACATGTTACAGAAAAATACATTAGCCCAGTTATGGGTACATACATTTTTATATGCCAATTCATAGAAAAGGACCTAGATGATTGTACACCAATTGTGGACAAGTGGTTATGTATGGGAAAGAGATGTGAAATAAGAAAGTGATGGGGAACAAATTTTCCTCAGTTTATTACCTATTACATAAATCTTTTAAAATTAAAATGAATTTTTGAAAAAAAGTTACTCTTTAGAGTAAAATAACTATTTGATATTTTATATCTCCATACTATACCTTATTATTCTCATTCTAAGTGGAATGCTATTCTCTATTATTTTTTTAAAAAACAATGAAACAAAAGTGCTCTTCCCCGCCTGTTTCCATTCTTTACCAGTCCATATTTATGTATTCTCTGATTCTGCCTGACTAAAGGATATGCCAGGATAGAGACAAAGACGGGACAGAGAGAGATAGGAACAGACAGCAAGCTACATTCAAGTCTCCTATGTACCTTCTAACATTGGCCAAGGTCTTCGATTTTTTTTTCTCTCTTGGCCTTCTGAAAGCTCTTTTATTGATTTCAATAAAGTATAGCTTGGATTTATTCAACTGTCAACATAACAGCCAAATGTTTATAATAATATGCCTTATATTAATTGTTAGTCTTGAATCAGAATAAATAAACTTACTTACTCTCAATTAACTGAAAAACTTCTAGTCTCTGAATTGGGCACACTTGCTTTCCTAATTAACATAAAATCTAAACCTTTTGCTGCTTCTCTGGCTTGCTCTAGTTCTGCAAAATTTCCATGTTATCTTAGATATGTTCATGCCACGTCATGCTTTTGTACTCCCCTAGATTTCTATAGCGTTCCCTCTTCAAAACTTACACAGCTAAAGGTGGTTATAGAGCCTGAGGCAGGAGGCAGGGTCCTTTTGATTCTTAGCAGAGCCAACCAGAATTTGAATTTATACGGTGCTGACAAGCTGATGAGTTTGTCAAGCAGTAAGTACTGCTCTATTTTATTCTCAAAGCCCACATCCTAATATCTTAAGCCAACTGCCTTAAACCTTCTAATATCAAAACCTCCAGAGCCTGTTGGCTTTCTCTTTTCATTCTCCTTGTCTCCAATTACAACATTAACACCATGCCAAGTTTGCTTCAGATTTTCTGGAAGAAACAAAGCATTACAGATACAGTTGAAGCCCCCAGATTCCCATACCTATTCCATCTCTCTCCTTCCTCTCCAAAGGTAAATACTCTCCAGGGTTATCTTTGACCATTCCATACACATTTTTATATTTTTGTGAAATATCTGTAACAAGATGTTGATGCATGTTTTAAGCTTTTTAAAGTGAAAACATAGAATATAGATCCTTTAATTAATTAATTTTTGCTTCACATTATCCTCTTGGGATTTACATGCAGTTCTATATAGTTCATTATTTTTAACTGCTATATAGCATTCCAATTCATGTATCCATTCTCCTGTTAGTGGATATTCAGGTTGTTTCTAATTTATTGTTATTATTAAACTACTTTAATTCTTATAAATGTGCAAGAATTACTTTAAAGACATATACCTAAGAATGGAATTACAGAGTCATAGGATATGCATAGCTTCATCTTTACTAGATATTACCAAACCATATCTCAACATAATTAGACTAATTTACAATTCAACCAGCAATCTAGTTTGTCACACTAGATTCTTGCAAACAATCTCCATGGCACTCCTCTCCAGATGCTAACATTTTTGCCATTTGTTTATGACTGGTATAGAATCTTAATGTTTTAATTTGGTTCCATGGTGACTATTGAAGTTGAACATCTTATCATTATTTTAGGCCTTTTTCTTGAGTTGTTTGTCTTCCCCTTACTTATTTTTGGGAGGAACATATTTATATTTCTACTCTTTTGTCAATTTTGAGTTATAGATATTATCCTTTAGTGTGTTATTTTATCATTGCTTATAATAAATGACTTCTGCTGTTTATTATTTTTAAATGTATGGTTTGTTTTTTAATTAAAGTTTTATTTTTTCAGTTATTTGTCTATATTTCTTAAGTAAAAAACATGGTGAATATTAAGTGGTCATAAGTCCTTATTCCTAAAGCATTCTCAACATTAATGTCAGATTGCATATCTAAAGGGGAACTGCGAAAGATTCCTTTTTCTAATAAAAAGTTCAGTTCATCATTTATTCAGCACTTGCTAAGTGCCCTTTACTATGTTAAAGGGTATAAATGTGAACCAGTCCATACAATCTGGAAATATACAGCCTAATTGAGGGGGAAAAAACTTGTAAACAAATGACGATGATGACGATGAAATGGAGAAGTAACCATGTGCCAAAGATTATGCTAACTCAGTATTTAATTGAACAGTAGTTTAATAAGGTGGAGTAAATGTTATTATGAG